GCCAAAGTCACTCGGCCGGCCGCCAAGAGTCTCGCGGCGCTCTTCATCAATGCTGGGTTCTCTCGTCAGTGGTTTGTCAAGGCGGTGCGTGTTCCCATGTCACTTACCGCTCAAAGGTTGCATCCACAGCCCCCTCGTCATCCATGCCTTCATCTGCGTCCATTGATGGGAAGAAGCCTTGGCCGGGTGCGTCTTCGTCGCTGAGGGCATCTCTCATATTGTAGAATTCGGACAGGCGTCTGCTGGCGAGCGAAAGGCGTGATGGCGCTTCGCTATAGGCTCGCCGTGGAAGTTCCAGGGTAGGGTCTTCGAGGATCGATGAGCGCGGTGGTACGAGATCTGAGTCGTCATCCATATCAAGTGGCAGTGTCATTTCAGGCCTGTCTATCGGGAGCTCGTCCTCGTCGTCGTCGTCTCCTTGCGCGGCGCGCGTTGAGCGCCTCGATCTTGAGGGCACATCCCTCGGCGACGATGACGTCTCCACGGGCTTGGATCTCGGCGCTAGCGCTTGACTCAAGGCCCTCAGGTTGTCAAAGAGGGACTCCCGGCGCCGCACGCCGACACTTTGGCGCCTTCGGCCTGGCGTCATGGCTGCTCGCCGTTGGTCGAGGTACTGCGACGCGGCTTTGGCGTGTGGTGTTGGCGCATTGTTCTTCCTGGCGGAGGCAGAGTATCCTTTGTGTGTTGAGCTGTTGAGGTAGTCTCTTCGGGACTGCTTTGGTGTGCGGAACGCGCGATGACTTGAAGGGGGCTCATCGCTTCGTGCGCGTAGACGGAGGCTGGGAGTCGCTGCTGAGAAGGTGGCATCGTAGGGGCGAGGAAGGCCCCGCGGCGTTGAGGCGACGGACGAGTCCATCATGCGCCGTCGGGTGCATATGTCGGATTATGGCCAGGTGAATGTATGCTGGTGGAGGTGTTGCTGCATGTGATTATCCTCGTGTCGTCTCGCAGCAACTGCTTTCGTGGGGTTGTCCGTGGCTTGTTGTTGATGTATGTCTGTAGGTTGGTTCGAGAGTGGTGGAGTCAATGGAGCAAGTACATGGTCCCCAGACGGGCCCGGACGGGACGCGACTGTCAACGCGACTTTGACGAGACGGACCCCGCAACCCGCGTGGGAAGCTGCATCTGTGCACGGACCAGTGACCCATCCGCCCAACTCAGGGGCATTGAAACTGCCATATGAGGCACGACGACGGTGGGTATGATACCACATGTCGTTCCATTCTTTCTTGAGATTGTAACAACAGTCTACCTACCATACATTGAATAGCTTCTGGCGGCCGTTAAACGGCTCAAGATGCCAGATTGCTCTGGTCAGGCCCCTGATTATCCCAATATGGCCGGAAGGGCCAAGAGACTTCAGCACTCATTCACAGACAAGCACGCAAGCAGTAAGGGACAACGAGGGAACTATGACCCAGATCAAGGCGTTCCGTGATGGCAGAATCTCCCGGCCGGATAGAAATACTCACTGTCTATCAGATTGAGTCACGCCCGAGCTCTTTCTCATAAGAGCCTCCAGGCGTTCATCGTCGCCATACTGTTTTATTGCCACCTCCTTCCATTCATCCCAACCTTGCTCTATGCCAAAGATCTGAAGCAAGGCATTTGCCAGTGGCAGCGCATATGCCCATTGCGTCTCCAGCCCCAAGCCCCAGAAGAATCGTCTCACCTTCTCATCTCCCATCTGATGCGCCATGCCTTCGCTCGTCTCGTACACGGCGTTTCTCAACGCGAGATCGTTGGTACTGAGAGAAACCTCACCACCACAGAGTGCTCGCACGTCGGCTGATACAAGGGAAAGCGCGATTGCCTCGCGTCGGGGAACAGTACGCGCCATCTGCCAGTCGATTATTTCGGTAATATTGAGATCTTCATCCACCATTAAATGATCTCCCTTGTCGTCCACGTGCTTCAAAAAGAATCGGTCCTCGCCGTCGGCCAATCATACGCATTGTCTCGGAAAAAGCGATACACCAAATAAGCTTCGACGGAGAACTGGGGATAGAGCTGGCCATCTGCAATCAGTGCCAGGTATTGCTCTGCCCAGGCCGTGTAGTACGCCTCCGACGTTTCACATGGTCCGCAAGGGTGTAAACAGACGAACCTGTCGCTGGCTGCAGAAGAAACAAACGGGGTGTCACCAGCAGACTCGACGCTCAGAGACCCCGCTTTGGCAAACGGGTGCTTCTCCAACTCGGCAAAGATCTCGGCGAGGCCCTTTCAGACTTTGGCGGCGTCTCCTTTTCCGTCCCAAGGTTTGCCGGGCATTTCTTCCATCAACAGAAAGCAGACACCGATGCCACAGTCGGTACCTCTGGATGGTATCCCGAACGAAAAGGCACGCGGTGCCGGAACCGCTGTGGGTTCTAGAAATTTCAGGGTTGCAAACTCGCTGCGAATCAGGTACTCAGCGAGTGGAAGCGGAAGCCCGACGGCGAAACCGGAGACCCGTGGTACTCACATGAGCCACGATGGGGATCCATCGCTGAAAAGAATTCGGACGTGGCAGTTGGCACAACCCATCAAGGCGTCAGGTCCAACAACCTGCGAAGGATACTCGACGACGCAAGGCTTGCCTGCGTTTAAGGTAGAGGCGAGCTTGCAGACAGCCTTCTCGTTGATCTCAGCGCGAAGGCGGCCGACTTCGGCGATGATGAGAGCGTTGTAGGTTGTGCCATCCAGGTCCTGCATGAGGAGTGCAATAAGCAAATGTTGAACTCAAGCGATATGCAGTTAGGTAGTTCTTACTCCTATGCTGCGCTTGTGGAAGTCCCGGGACATATGGATGCCACAAAAGTGCATACTACAGATATCACACCCGGCTCCAACGGAGCGCGCACTTGGCCTTCCACAGTCGGACACTGAGCATTGAAAGAATTGGTCCACCATTATGCCATTTGTGATAAGAAATGACTCGGAGATGTCTCACAAGTCGGGTGTGGAATCGTGGAAGGTGAGGAGATGTAGGGTATATGAACTACTGGAAGCCGGAATGCACGTGGGGGAGGGTCAATGTCCGAGGAGACTTCATGAATCTCGAGTCTGGGCACTGGTGAAATGAATGCCGTGCCAGGAGGCCATCGTAGGAGGTTACTCGCTCGAAACGTGGCTCACCCCAATTGGGACCAACGCAGGTAATTATATGTGCAATGCTTTGTTGTAGCGATCTGGTCCCCAACGGGAAACCTAGATTGGTCAGAGCAGTTGCCTGAGGTACAGTGTGTCGTTGATCAGCCCTCCACATTCAAGCTGCCCGGTCAATGAACGGCAGGAAGCGGACGGCACAGCCCCATGAAGACTGCTGGCTAGATGCTCAGGGTAGTGACCTGCCCATTCCCCATGGTGTTTGGCGGAGATGCGGTGTACATGGTAGACTCGGGTTGTCACGATACCTATGGTGGATATCCTCGTGACACTTCACCGCCCCAGCGGGGGAGTATTGTTATACCCAGAAGACCCGGTTTTCAGCGTCATTATAACCAAACACGAGGGTCAATCTGACAGTGTCTGGCCAACCGATAAGTAGACGATACGCCCGTATCGGGTAAGCATTTCCGAGTCAAAAACAATCCCCTCCACACTCCTGGAGGCCCAACCTTCGTCCGTCTACTAAGCATCGGTTGCCAGGAGCTATGGCATCCACGCCGACAGACGAAGAGTCCCTACACTCGGCGACCACCGCATGGGCACAGGCGATTGACACGCCGCCTGCGCCTGTGGCGGCTTTTAAAGACGAACCCTTTAACGACGAGCCGGTCATGGTAGGAGAACCCCAGCTCGTCAATCCTAGAAAACGACGTCGCAGCTCTGTCGACTCTGGGAGCTCTTGTAGCTTCACGGACTGCTATCACAACACTGCGAAGCGAAAAATCCTGTCTCCCCCCTTCATTAATTTTCAAACCACACGCAAACACCGGCGGCGATATCCACCTCACGCCGTCATATATAGCGTTGGACGCAACGACGAAGACGAAGCTGAAGATGCTGCTAACTTGGCAACACCTCGCCCCCCCCAGAGATACCAACACTGGCCGCCGTCAGTCCAGAGCAGACCGTCTCCGAATCGGACGGCGTCGACTAGGTCATCGTCTAAACGATCCGCGTCTTCTTCAAGACAATCATCTCCTACTAAGCAGCTTCGTTCCGCTGGCTTCGACAACGACGGATACAACCGTCGAAAGTTTCCACTCGACATCGGACATCTGCCTCGGACGCTACAAACTCTCATCACGGACCTCCGGGGCCTTGATCATGGGCACGTTAAGCTCCCTGGGGAATGGTGGGACGAGATATGATCAATAACTGTTGGGAATCCCATCACACCCGTTGCTAACGATGGAAACCTTCAGACAATAGATGCTCTTGATATCCCTAGGGACTTCTTCCAGCATATGGAACCAAATATTTCAACATCCTCTTCAACAACACCACCCGATATTCCTTTATCAAGCTTAATCACCCGCATCATGCGCAGCGCTACCGAATGCGATGAGATGAATGAGCCAGAGTGCGTTTGGAGTGACGAGGTCTACCGCCCCATCCTCTCGTGGGTCCTGAGACCGAATGATAATGAATCTGGGCTTGTTGACTTTCGCTGCAGGTACGTCTCGATTGGCTATGGCATCAGCTCCTCATGCTTCCTACCCGCTCTATGTCATCACAGGGCCTAGAGCTAAATTGAACCTCTTCTCCAGCACCTCCAGCAGAATCTCTCGCAGATTCAGCCCGCGCACCTCAACATCAAAGATGGTGGATTTCTGTACCATATTCAAGCCTCCAACGGGTAGTCATCCAGCACGACGCATTGATGAGATTTGTAGAACCCGGCCCGGCAGGTCCATCAACCACAGTGACGCAGGAGCTCTTTGCACCTACCCCGTCGGGTTGTCCCTCGAATTTAAGAGCCCCGGCGCGGACGTCGTCAAGGCAATGGTGCAGATCGGCGCATGGCACGCAGCTCAGTGGCGAAGTTTGTGCCTTGACTGCCCCGACTCATCAACCCGGGCCATCGAGTTCCTTCCAGGCATAATTGTGCAGGGCCATGAGTGGTACTTCGTCGCCACAGTTCCTCCACAGTCACCAAAAGCCGAGGATACATCTCCGTTACCTTTTGACCACATACCGACCCTCTACTCCAGGATATTGATGGGGTCAACGGAACATACCAAGGGGTTATGCAGGATTGTTGCAGCCCTGCGGCTTTTGGTGACCTGGCTGGAAGAAAGGTACTGGCCGGCATTCAAGCAGCAAGTGCTCCTGCTAGATTATCTCGCGCCAGCAACTTAGACCACTCCAACAAACTAGATCTCTAGGAGAAAACTATATAGCTGACATGAGTCAAGGTATCAAGGTTCAAGTTATGCGGGCTTCAAACTTGCTAAACTTCACTTGACAAGATCTTCAACTTGACTTACTTGAGTGCCGACGAGCCCGAACTTCCTCAAGTCAACTTGACTTGCCGGCAGCTCTGTCCAGAACCGCTGAGAATCTGCAAAACACGGTTAGCAGTGAAAGAACTTGCCAAGGCAGAATTAGATGGCAGGTCAGGCTCTGAGGCGCCAGTGGGTTTCAACGTTGGCAGCAGTGGCGCTGAAGACGTCTTTCACGCTGATGGCAGTTGTATCGGTCCCGGACCACAGAGAAGGCGAAGGTAAAAGCCGCAAGGGCGCCGAGGCGAGCTTGCACGCTGTTGATGGCGTAAAACCTGCCGATGGCAGCGATAGGCAGCATGCAGGCAATGACCGTCCTGGTGAACTTGTGGTGCAGGTAATCACATACTGCTGGAAGTGCATCCTCAAGCGCTCTCAACAAATGATTGGTCATTTACCCGCGCAAGAAGAGATTCTAGCGGGCCTCCGGGCCATGGGCAATATGTTTACCACGGGCACTCTGAGGATTCGTTGACGACCACGGTAGCAAATTGATGAATTATGGCGTCTTTTCCCTCCACTAGGTAGAGACAGGTGACTCTACAATGATACGGCTTTGATTGGACAGGTGAGCAGTATGTCGCGATTATGACTTGACATGGACAGAATTATCGATTTTGTTTGTCAGGGCGCACGTCGAGCGCAACGGCATCGCTTCCGTTATGTCCATAATAGACTGGACCTGAAAACTGGTCGGCCCGCTCCTCAAAGTACGAGCAAGGAAGTACACAAGTCATGAAGTCACTTTGAAGCATGTATTGTCTAATTGTGCCGCCGCGGGCCACCAGATCCAGGGCGTCGTGCTAGCGCCCAAGGGCTGTATTATGCGCGCCGTCAGGCGGCCTCAAACTCGGCCAATCATTTCTTGTGGTTGGTTGGCAACAACTAATGTGTAGATGTTTCATATCTGAGCGCACTTTTATTGGGCGTACGGAGTAAGAGAGTGCTTGCTCTGAGAGATGTTTCTTTGGTCAGTTACTTGGTCTGAATCTCGAGGGCCGCATCATGGCGCGTAAATGCTGGTTCTATTTCCGTTGCATGAAGCATCGGAGACATAACATGATGCCACCTATCGCCAACAAGAAGAGTTCCTCTTGCCTCAATTATCTTTGGTTCTATTACTAGGCTTCGTCCACGCAACCTATCCGCATTGCCTTTCAGGGGTTTTAACATCAAGCATGCCCTCCAACAAATCCCGACTATACATCGCGCTGTATCCCAGCGGCGTCGTGGATAATGAGGAGCGCAAGTAAGCTGGCAGTACTCCGGGTTTCTTCACAGATACTTACCTTCTCAGATATCACTGGGGCTTCCTGATTGGACCTAAAGCAGAACGCGGCGATAGCGTACCAGGCGTGCGTTACCACGTTAAAAACTCCCCTCATGGTTGGAAATATGAACAGATGCCAATCACGAACGTCCGATCGACCAACAGCCTCTTAGTACGCATTCTCATTGCTAAGATTGAGGACGAACCACGTCTTGTAAATGTTTTCAAGAACTTACCGGTCGTGCAAGGCGATTCGAACTGGAGATGTCGCACCTGGGTAGCGAGTGCCCTGGCCGAGATCGCGAAGGATGGGATGTGCGTTGGAACAGCTGAGCTAGATTGGAAGAAGATTGAGGCGGCTGCGAGGCAGTACGTAGCCAAGAAAACTGCAAGTGGTCGCTATGGACGTGATGCAGACATGACGAAACCGAAACCAACGTGGGATATGATCGAAAATAAGGAGATTGTACCATAGGGGCCACTTGGCAATCATCTGCTCTTGACAAATAACGGTTGCTAGCCAGAAGCTGTAGAATGCCATGTTGTCGAGGTAATCCACTCTTTAGCTAAGCTATGATGAGCAGATTGAATGTTTTCTTCGTTTCCATCCTCATTCAGCATTCACCCCACCATTTATTACGAACTTTCTCCATCTCAAAGTCTTCAAGAGGTGGTCGATCGAGAAACTTCTCAAGCTTGCTCTGCCATTCAAGTCTCGTAATGTTGCCAAACCAGGCCGATGTATATTCCCAGTAGGGAGGATACCATCCTGAGAACTCCCAGTCAATGATTCCGACCACTTTGCCCTCACGAACAAGAATGTTGAACGGGTTCAGATCACCATGAGTGAAAACTGGCGGAGGACATGGCCCATCTTGCCGATCCATCATTTTCTGGAGGTCATGCCAATCTTGATCCCTCTTCTGGGCTTGGAGATCCTCGGGCTTCAGGTTATCTCTGAGCCAGAAATGAAAGTTTTGTATTGTCGTGAAAGGGCCGAATCGAGGATTTCCCCGGGGTATACGGGAATCGAACAATGAACCGCCAACGCAGCTTTCTACTCCAGTGGTTAGAGGTTTGAGAGCGCGTAGCTCCTGGATGAATTTTCTCAGCTGCAAAAAGAGACCCTCGAGCGCTTCTGGGGACAGAACATTTAAGACTGCCGGTAGCTCATCGCCCTGAATCCTTTCCATGACTATATATGCTCTGTTCTTGTGTAAAAAAGAGCAAACGACCTTGGGGACAGGGATGCTTGTATTCTCCGCCAGGTATTTCAGAGTCGCACCTTCTGTCAGATGGGTGCGGATGCCTGTCTTGACGATTCTGTGTTTTGAGATGGGTACGCAGAGACCGTCTCGTGAATAGAACTTCGCCGTAGTACGCAGCGCTAGTCGTGTCAAGAAGCGGCGTAACCAAGTGTTGTTGATGGCAAGGTGTTCGGTGCCGTCGTGCTGGGCGTCAAAGTCGTATCCAGGCGGAAGGTGTAGGGGTGCCATTCTGTTTGAAGGCGATAAACAAGAGAAACCTGTCCTTCGCTGGAAAGGCTGATAGAGGAGAGAAGTAGGCTAAGGAGTGAGGTCGTTGGTGGTGGAGGGTGTGGGTGACTTAAACATCGCAAATGTCGCAGTACAGGGCAGTCACCGGGGCACCGGAGCATGCAAACGAGCGATGCTGGAGCAGGTGTCGAAGGGTCTGCATAGGAAGAGTGAGCCAGGGAATTCCGCCCAAGGCCAGCCTCGGTAGTACGAGGCTGTAGTTTCGTTGTTGCAGCAGCCCAGACGTAGAACCAAATGCGGTTGAGGTCATCAGCTTGGACCGTTTGAACTACCGTACGTGAGCCGATGTTCTACCGGCTTTGGAGGGGCCCTGGTCTGTCCACGAAGAGGGGCAAAGCTCAAAGCCTGTCAACGTCATCCAGTATTGAGCGATAGCTGGCACAACTACCGAAACTACCTACCTAAACGGACTGCTCCGATCCTCGCGACACCAATTCATCGCTTTCTGACGTCGGAAGCTACCCGAAATTTTGAGACATGGACGATTCAGAGCTTGACCAGGTAAGCTGCTTAGCACCGGAGCAAGCGCGTGGAGAGAACATCAAGGTTAACGCAGCGGAAGATCCGCAAGGCTCGCCTCGAGCAGCTCAAGGCTCAGGGAGGCAGTAGCGGCGGTGGCGGCGGCGGAGGCGGTGGCCTTGGAAAACAGGAGCAGGCCGAGCAACGACAGTACGACGACCCCCCATATCCTCCCAGCTTGACTACTCTTACAGCACGCCTGCTAACCATGCACCGCACAGACAGCAGGAGAGTGAAGCGCGCCAGCATATTCTTGGTCAGATTCTGCATCCTGAAGCTGCGGACCGCCTTGGTCGTATCCGTCTCGTCAAGGAACAGCGTGCCACCGAGGTCGAGAACCGCCTCATCATGCTGGCGCAATCCGGGCAGCTCCAGTCCAAGGTGACCGAGGCGCAGCTCAAGGAGCTACTGAACGCCGTAGCCGACAAGCAAGAGGAGGAGAAGATTGTGGTCAGCCGACGCAAGGGGTGGGACGATGACGATGACGACCTTTTCGACCTGTAGGGATGCGTTCGCCCCCACGCGAGAGCATCGATGACGAATTCGAAGATACCATTGGGGGTTCTGGCGCAACGGAGTTGTTATTTCTGAAGTGGCATCTGTTTTGAACAATGTTGTTCCTGTTTTTCTGTGGAGGTGCCCGGACTGCCGTGGCGGCACCGCCTTGTGATACAAGAAAATGGTTACAAGTGGTCGCATGATGTACAAGTTTTCTTCCATGTTGCCCTAGGCGCTGCTGCCCGTCACCTCGTTCCGCCTCGCCGATTCTTCTTTTGCCTTCCTCCTAGCCTCCCGTTCTCTCCGTCTGATCTCTCTCAGATCCGGCGGCGTCTCAATGCCGAGCTCGGCCCTCAGCTCGTCGACGCTGCTCTCCAGCCTCTCTTCCCAGTACACGTTGATCACCTCCTTTGACCTGCTCCCGTTTCGCAGGGCCCAAGGGCCGGTAGATGCTGCGGAACCGTGCCCGTTCGCTCTTTTTCATGGTGAAGTAGCTCGCAACAGCGAGGCCCGGTCATGGGGATCATGGTGTTCATAAATTCGAAAGCCTTGAGCGCCACCTCCTCCCTCGCGATACACGGGGAGGCCGGTCAGAGCGTGGTAAAAGTCGTGGCATTCGCGTAGCGGCTGCCATGACGGTAGGCGGACGTAGCGCACTCTCGTCGTCATGCCACGCGGGCGCGCCGTGTTCGGGGGGACACCGCCCTCGCGGTCAGCAGCCGACGTAGCACGGCCGACGGTGTTATTCGGGAAGACTACGGAGACGGTCGAGGTTGAGAGAGGTCGATGTCAGGCGTGGGCGGTCACGAAGGATGCGACGACCCGTCGGGTCAGCCAGCATAGCGTCGCGGAGGCGGGGAAGGAAGTAGGGCGTGGCCGTCGTTTCGCCAACTGTAGCGATGAGATCTAGGCCATGACATTGTCAGAGTGCCTCGCAGACAAGAACGGGGTGCAGGGAGCCTGACCTCCGCGTCGCGGATCAACCAAGGACATGAGGCCGGAGCCAATGGCGAGACTGGCACGCTCGATGGTGGTCAGAGGCACATGGCCAGGATAGTTCGGCGGGGGCCGGTTGAGGACGGAGAATGGTCGCGGTGCTGAGCTGCATGATGCGCATGTCGCAGCGCGAACGACATGGCGCGCATGCCTAGCCGATGGAGCCCTGCAGACGGACTTCATACTGTCTGCTGGAGTAGAGGGTTGCGAGCGCTATGAAGGCAGAGGCTCGCAGGATGTTGTGTGATGCCGTCGTACGATCAGGGCGATGAATGTCACGGACCAGAAAGCTTGCGGTTTCCCGTTACTGAACGAGAGACACGGAGCATCGGTGCGGAACCATCCCGACAGTGGGTCCAGGCTGCTAATGGGGGGACGTGCAACCCGCTGGAGAACTAACTTGAACAAAGCCCAATAGAGCAGCACCCTGAAGGCTGCCCTTACCATGACAACGCCTCCTCGCTTTTATGGTACAAGGGACTAAATTCATCCACGAAAGCAGACAGCAAGCCAGACACGCCAAACATGCTTATGTTGTGTTGTTGATGTTCGTCATTCAATCCGCCAAAACATCTCGTTCACGATCGTCAGTAGTCGGCGGCCCCATCCGCAATGACGGGCTCCCATAAAACACCATAGACACTATCCGACTCGCCAGCGACGCAAAAGTATTGCGATAGGGTGCAGCCCGATTGCAGCCCTCGGTAATTGCCATTAACGCCATGGTGCAGTCAGTGCACGTCTTGATAATCTCCTCACATGCCACCTCAGCGCGGACAGCCGGCGTCGTCCGCAGACAGTACAGAAATGTCAGCCCAGTAAGAAACGCGCAGTGTAGCGTTGCTGAGGTGTATTCAATCTTCGTGCCGATATCCTGACGCCTGTGGATCTATAGAAGTTCTTATCAAAGGGGCATCGGTCGAAGATGGTGATGTCGCTGCAGCAGGCAGATGGCCGCCTCCTTTTCTCCGAATATGAATAGCCTCATCGCTGCCCGTACAATCCCCAGCCAACGCATCAGCTCACTCGTTGTCATCAGCCCCATGGCCATTGTTTAGGTAACATCTCGGGGGATCCGTGGCCTGCTCAAGCCCTAGTACACCGTCTCCACGGGCCTGGCGTTGAAAACAGCTAGCTTCTGCGTTCTGGGCTTTCACGAGAACATACCCGTAAGCATACTGCAGTATCAAATTCCACTCATCGCCATCTCTGTCCTCGTCCTCCTCTGCATCCTCTCTAACTTTCTCATCAACGAGCCATCGAGATGATTGATGCTTGCTGGGAGATGAGAAGAAGCAATCGATGTGCCCAAGCGGCTACGTCGCCTCCCCGCGGATCACCTTGCGTGGCAGCACAGCTTACAGATATTCAGGCATCGAACATTAACTCAACGCGTGACGTGGAGGGCAAGAGCTCTCGGCCAGACATTCCACTGGCTGTTCCTCTACGCCGTAAAGCATGCGGTTCCTGGTCTTCCCAAATACACGGACAATTGAGGAGCATTTCTTTTCTTTGCGGATTGGTGTTCTGTGGGGCTCTTCTACGTGTTCCTTATGGTACCCGAGATTGCTGGACTAAGTGTTGAAGATATTGATCAGGTGCTCGAGGGTTCCTGGCTGAACGCATGGAGGACTACCTGCAACGTCAACCGGCCCCCAAGGATTGAAACTTTCGAGGGCCAACAGGATCTGGACAAGGGTGACGGCCAGAGGTGCATCAACAGATCGAAGCTGTTCGACCTTTCCATGACATGATGTGGTGATCATATGATAGCGATGTACTCCCAAAATCATCGGAAAAGGAGAAGGGCTGCATCACAATGGTTTGGTTGGCTGGCAGGGATACACCATGCAAGAGGACCACAGGCCCTTGAGCAGTCTTTTGACATCCGTCTGACAAGACTACTCCAAAGGTGCTGATTTACGGTCAAGGGTCAACTCGGGATCACAGTGTGTTATGTTGCCAAGTGGTCGAAAGAAGATCTATTCATTTCATACACTTCCGGTAAGCCAAGAGAGAAACGTTCAGATCATGACGCATAGTCACGAAGGCCTGAGTATTCTTGCTTAGTCACCGGAGCATTCACAGAAGTGGGCCACTTTTCTGCGACCTGTTGTGGGAAGCCAAACAGTTGACAAAAAGCTTGAGACGCTCAAAGTCTCTCACCGAACAACACCACCACAACTGCAACCAAGATGACTAAATATACACACCCCGACACCCCTACGAAATCCAGGATTCTAGGGGCTATTGATTATATGGAAAAATATAACATACCCTATATGAAAAGCCGTGTTTTTGCCCTTAATGGGGTCTCTAAATCTTCTGGATATCGGATCCTGAGAGAACGCAATGAACGCCGCCTCCAGAGCGACCCCCAACGTGAAGAGACTCGTGGCCGCCCTCGCACCCTTACGCCCAAGGAGCTCAAGCTTATAGAGAAGCTTATCTGGAAAGCGGGTTATGAAGGACGTACTGTCTCTTGGCAATCTATCGCTCTCGAGGCTGGCGTTCAGACTCCTTGTTCTACGCGAACCATCCAGAGAGCTCTCGGACCCCTTGGGTATAGGAAGTGTATTGCCTGCCCTAAGAAATGTGTTTCTCCAGCAGTCGCCCTACGACGTCTTCAAGCTGCAGAGAAGGCCCTGGAACTCCGCCCTACTCCGGAGAGCTGGAGAGATATCCGGTTTAGCGACGAGGTCCTTTTTAGTATTGGGCCCGAGGGCAAGGCGCGGATTGTCCACAAGCAAGGCGAGCGGCATTGTCCTGACTGTTCCCCAAGAGTGGGTAGAACCCCAGGAGAAGCATAAGAAGAGACTTCATGCCCTGGGCAGCAGATGGATACAATCTCATTACAAATCTCTTTTGTTTTGGTAAAACGACGAGCTACCAACGAAAGAATAAGCCAGCAGGTCTATCGTGGCCGAATACTCGAAGGCAGGTAAAGCCCTGGCTAGAAGCAGGTCCCTCCTTCATCCTAGAGGAAGATGGAGACTCTGGCTATAGCTATCAGAGATGTCGGGCCTGGAAGCAAGCCCATGGGCTACGCTATTACTTCAACACCCAAGGTTCTCCAGACCTCTCTCCTATAGAGAACGCCTGGAGGATACCTAAGCAGCATATCCTACAGCGAACAGAGTGGGACGTAGAAGATCTCAAGGCACTAGCGATAGAGGCCTGGCAGGAGCTTCAAGCTAATCCAGAGCGTGTTAATAGCTGGGTTGATTCAATGCCTCAACGGATGAAGGATGTCGTGGAAATGGAAGGCCGGATCACTGGGTGGTAGATACCTTATTCTAGGTAGGTAGTGTGAGGGGTTTTAGTGTCTCAAAGTTTTTTGTCATCAGCTTGGGGGCTTGATCTAAACCCCACTTGTCTGGTTTGTTTCCGGTGATCCAGATTGTCGGAATCGCACTTGGCTACCTACCTTACCTAGTGATGAGTCTTAGGCTAAACGGATGGTATCATCTCTGCGACTCACCACTTCCAGCGTGCCACGTTTTCATTGATCCGTTCTCTTGAAATATTTTATAGGTTTCGTCTCAGGCTCATCTGAAAGCCTGGTGTTTCCTTGCGAAACCAATCTACTCGCATGGGTTCGTTCTGATCCCGGTCCTGACTGAAGTCGTCGACAAGCTTATACTACTCTCGGTAATCACAGTCCACGAGAACATTGAAATTCACCAGACCGTGTTCAAAAGCGTCACAGCATAGAACATGTCTGATATCATACATGACCTGCTGGACTGGTCCAAAACTCAAAATGTCGTCCTCAACGGCATTAAGCCCAACGCCTTTCCTGGCCGGGGCATAGGTCTCATCTCAACCCGTGCCATTAAAGAAGGCGATGTCGTTCTAGAGGTCCCCACTTCAGCGATCAAAACTCTGGACGATCTCCCACCGAGCCTCCGCAAGAAGCTTCCATCTCCTCCGGACACGACCGTTCACGCCTTGCTCGCCCTCGACCTCGCCACGGATGCCTCCTCCTGCCCTGCCCCCTGGCGAGCCGTCCTCCCATCCCGCGCCGATATAGCCACCATGCCGCTGACCTGGGATGAGCGCCTGCACCCGTACCTGCCCCCAGCGGCTCGCGAGCTCCTGAAGCAGCAAAAGACAAAGTTCGAGAAGGATTTTGCCAACTGCGTCGCCGCCGTCCCGGGCCTCGACGAGTCTAGGTACAGACACGCCTGGCTCCTTGTCAACTCGCGTACCTTTTACCACACGTCGCCCCTCACGGCCAAACTGCCCAAGGAGGACCACCTCTCGCTGCAGCCCGTTGCTGACCTCTTCAACCACGCCGCTCGCGGCTGCACCGTTGCCTACTGCGACCTCTCCTACACAGTCACCGCCAACACATCGTTTCCGCGCGGCGCCGAGATCCCCATCTGCTACGGCCGCCACAGCAACGATTTCCTCCTCGTCGAGTACGGCTTCATCCTCGAGGGCGCCTCTAACGAGTGGGACGAGGTCTCGCTCGACGACGTGCTGCTGCCGCGCCTTCGGAAGCCTGCGACGCGTAAGCGAGACCTCGAGGATGCCGGCTTCTGGGGTCGCTACGTGCTCGACTCTGATATGGTCTGTTTCAGGACGCAGGTCGCCGTCCGGAGCCTCGTCGTGCCCGAGTGGGTGTGGAGATCGTTTGCTGAAGGGCGGGATGAGGGGGAGGGCGCCCAGTGGAAGGTGGACACGGAGCTGAAGACGATGCTCGAGGAGTATGATGAGCAGATTGAAGCTACGGTCAAGGAGGTCGAGTCCTTGGAGGTTGTCGGCGAAGCGGTCCAGAGGGAGATCATCGTGCAGCGATGGCGCCAAATTCAGACTATCGTCAGGGCTGCGATAAAAAGATTAGCGCAATAAATGACGGCATCATATTGAACACAGAATGAATTCCTCACGCAAGACTGCTTGTGGAAATCCGAAATCAATATTGTCGTCCTTAAGAAGCACCGACCGCCGCATTTGTCTTCTATGTCGATTATGAAAGTCCAGGGTCACCATCGTGTCGCGGTGTAATAAGTAATTTGAACCATTAAAGCAGAACCCAAGATGAAAGCAACGCCAACCCAAACCCCCAATATTGCAGACCTCCAAGCTCCTCGAGAGCATAGCGGTGATGATAGTACAGATTGCAGGCTCGTCTTCATCGAGAATTGCAACCCCTAATCGCCAGTCGAGGTTCGACAGGTAACCTCGACAGAACAACCCGTTTATTCTGGACGAGGTCTCTTGGCACCATGGGGATTTCCCCAGTCGCCACCTCCCTGACCGCCACCTCCCTGACCAAAAAAGCCGGGGTTGAATTGTTGCGGCATTCCTTGAAAACCTAGAGTGCAGAAATATCAGTAAGAAGCAACCCAGATTGAGTGGTGAGAATAGTCCATGGCAAGTACACAAGCAACAAACGAACATCTGTAGCAAGCCCGAAGTGCTTTCATCATCGGTCTTGTCTTGACCCCGCTGCCACTGGCAATAGGTCAAGCCAAACGACACAGACGTGGGTTTGCCAGATTGGGATGTACGATGCAGTAGGGACAAAGAGATAGTGCACAGATCAGGAGTCTTACCCTGCATGCCTCCACCCATCATGCCCATGGGGTTGCCCATTCCGCCCATTGGCATTCCGCCCATTGGGCCCATGGGCATACCTCCCATCTGATTCATGCCACCGCGGCCACCTCGCATACACCGGGCCACCACGCATGCCGCCGCCGAAGCCGCCCCGGTTGAAGCCGCCCATGTTGTTGTTGTTGAAGCCGACGCCGCCCATGCCGCCGTTGTTGAAGCCGCCCATGTTGTTGTTCTGGTTGTATCCACCCATACCGCCGGCAAAGTTGCGGTTGTAGTTGTTTTGGTTCATGCCGCCACGGGGCACGAAACCACCACCGCCGCCACGTCCCCTGTAGTTGCCTCGGAAGTTGCCACCCATGTTGGCACTGTTGTCGTTGTTAAAGGTGCCTGTAGCCCGAGACCCTTGGCCTTCCTTAGGTTGCCTGTTGGATGTGTCTTTGGGTAGCGTGCGGAAGGGATTCACGTTCGGGTTCGAGTAGGCGACATTGTAGCGCTTTTGGCCGGGCGTATTGCCCTCGAGTTTGTCGACGAGGTGCTTCGTAGCGGTCGCAGCTTGTTGGGAAGCAAACTCGATATAGACTTGCCTGTAGCACGATTAGCCACGGCGGCGTCTATGGAATCCCCAGCGAAAAAACTTACCCCTTGCTCTTGCCATTGACTTTATGTTCACTAAACGTTATGTCCTTGAGCTCGTCTTCGCAGTGCGCCCGACGTGACCAGCCGCGAATCTCATCGTCCGTGTTCCACCAGTTCAGATCCGAGATGGTGATGGCGTTGGTAGCGCCAGGATCTACCACTCTGTCGTCCCCCTTACGCTTGGTGCCTTGTTGCGGGGCAGACGACGACTGATCGTTATACTGTTCGGGTTCCTCCTTGTGCTCATGCTGTCCACCATCATCGTGGTCTTCACGGTGGTCGTGCTCTTGTTGTTGCTGCTGGCCTCCCTCGTACTCATGATGTCCCTCCTGATTCTCCTGGGGTGCATCGCCGTAAATATCGATTTCGAATTCGTCGTCGGCCATCGCGGTGGTGTGCGACTGTGTCTCTATGAAAGCGAACAATCAGGGTTGTTATTAGGTTCTGAGGTACAGGAGCCGTCGTTGCCTTTTATGCATCTATGATCAGCCATGGGGAGAAACACTGCGAAACGACATGATATGAAACAAATACCACCACCAGCCACCATCCCGGCTGCGCGAAGAGAGAGAGAATAAGGAGACAGAAAGACCAATCATACGTACACTCCTCTTTCTGCAGACAGGACAAGGTGGAAGGAGGGTTGGTTGATCCAAAGCCCGTCCGTAGAGAGTTTTAAAAAGTCGAAGAGGAAGCTCTGTACTTCGATCTCTTGTGACGGCGACGGGGGGAGGGGTCTCTTGGCAGCGAGAGCCCGACGGGTGTAGGTAGAAGAGTACAGGCAGGCAAAAAGGGTCCGATGGCAAACCAACAGCCGACGAAACGAAACAGGTTGCCGGAGTTCCCAAGCCCTTGACAGTCTTTGCAGCTGTTGCCCTATTGCGCACCCGCACGCGATGACACCCTGCTGGATCTCAAGTTCCTTCGCTGTTGCTGCCTTACGACCACCTCGGTAGGAAAGATCGGTTTGGCCGAGTGGGCTTATTGTCTGGCCGTCACGCCGCCGGTGAGATGAGTCCGGCTTTCGATTCGACAGTTCTGAACGAGATATATGTGGATGAGGCGTCGTGGTGACCTCTGACGATCGCGGTTGTTGGAGTCGAGGCTGGTGATTCAGTGGGATGACTGCGTTAAGCCGGACTGGTCTTCCTGAGGCAGCTTGGAAGCTCCTTCAGACGGGTAGAGCTTAGGTCGCGTTTGGGCCAGGCGTCGAACATGGGGCGGCTTGAAGGTGTGCATGGGCTCGCCTCCTGAAAGTCTCCACCAAGGGGTGTCCTGTGGCTGATGCTCTGTCAATTGGGCCAGATCTGTGGCGCCCACGGAGCACGGCCGCATTCTTCCGCCCCTGGTTTTTGGCAATGTGGCTTCACCACGAAGCACCAGCTGGTTCCGTCGAGTTCCCCATTTCCTGGGGGGACCCTTAGAGACATCTATCCATTGCTAGGACACCTCGCATTTCCCTCCGATTCCCCAATCGCCTTCTCCCTCACCCATCCACGATACCCACGTCCCGATCGCTCTACGCATTGCCAGAACTTCGAATCAATCCTCTTGTACCTCTCTGCCCTTCCTCGAAATTGCAATGGCCGATACCGTTAAGGAGTTCCTTGAGGTCCCCTCGGAGTTCGCTCAGGATGGCGTCCAATTCATGAGGAGGTGCACCAAGCGTGAGTCGACACGAAACGCAACCTATTGTGCACGACACGTGCTGACACTCTTTACTAGCCGATCGCGCCGAGTACCAGAAGCTCGCGCAGGCCGTCGGTGTTGGTTTCCTCATCATGGGAGCTGTCGGTTACATCGCAAGTCTCCCCGCATGTCGCTGCCGCCCTGCCACATTGCTAACACTCGTCGGAACAGGTCAAGCTTATCCACATCCCCGTCAACAACATTCTGGTCGGTGGTGCGTAAATCATGGTACACGAGCGCTATCAGAAGCGATAGGAAGCCGCGTAGAAATTATGTCTGTCGCCATTTTACAACGAGCCAACCCACCGAAAATATACCCGCGGTTACGGAGGGACTCTGGATGGGAAGACACGTTCGGCGAGCAAAGAGGGACTCCGTGAATGTAGGGGACTGGAGACCTCACGATGCGCACGGTAAAAGCTTGAGGGGGACGTGTCTCTCGAATCCGGATTCTCCTCAGTCATACTTCAGATTGACTGAGTGTACAAGGGCACATGCGTGTCATTCTTGTATCATAATCGAATACCAACCCAGTTCGAATCATCTTTCCCGCTGTCTACATCACGTAAAACATTCTTTGGAGCGATGGTCTGTTCGAAGCTGCTCATCACGCTTCTGCCATCTAGGCTCTGCTCATC